GAATTAAAAATATTATTGTTACTATAGTTTTTCTTTTAGTCTTTCCTTTTATATTTCTTTGTGATGCAGAAGCGGAATGAAAAGGATTTGGATTTAAAAATGATTTCAGTATGTGAGCATAAGATGTTGATCACTTTTTAAAAAAAATATATATAAATTTGATCTATTTGGGGCCCATTCACACTGTGGAGATTTACTAAAACTGGTGCACTCAGAATCTGGTGCAGCTCTGCAGGATAGCCAATCAGCTTCTAACCTCAGCTTGTTCAATTAAGCTCTGACAATACAACCTGGAAGCTATATGGATTCTATACAGAGCTGCACCAGATTTTACACTCTCTTTAGTAAATAACCCCTCATGTGTGTTGAACTACATTGAGCAGTCTTGGCCATTGACGTTCCAATGCATAGACAAGTCAATTTGTCTTATCTCTGCGCAGCGGTGTGCTCCACAAAAAAAATTGGAAGACGTGCTGTACAGTTAGACAGTGTGCTTTGGTGCAGGAAGGTGGATGAAGTGTCACTTTTGTTTTTTTCTTTCAATAAAATTGAAGAAAAAAAAATAAACAGTGTGATGCATCATTACAATGTATTAGCCCCAATCCCTTCATAGCATGCATCAGCAGCCACACTACAATGGAACCTCTGGTGTGAACAAGCCCTTACAATTTTTTTTATTATTTTTATTATTATTTTTTATATGTTATCACTATTTTTACTAACTAATTTATACATTGCCTATAATAATTGTTAAAAAATGGGATTATGCAAGTTGTTTTAGGGGCTGTGTCAATGGGCATTAGGTTACAAATGCAGCTTGCCTTTGACATCAGTTTGATATGCTCCTGAGATCATTTAGAATTCATTGATAGGTGCATTTGACTTGCAGGCGATCTCCTACTAACCTGTATTTAAAGTGGTTCTAAAGGCAGAGTGCAGCTCCCCCTCAGTCCCCCCAATATTTACCTGAGCCTGATGTGCATGAAAGCAGCGGCTCTCCTGGGTCTCCCTGCTCATTGGCAGAGACACAGCAGCGGGAGCCAGTGAGGAGGGAGCGTGGCCGAGCCACGCTCTGTGTGTCTTATAGACACACAGAGGTGGCTCAGGAGCGAGCATTCACAAGTGCCCCCAGAGCAAGGAGCTTCCTGTGGGGGCAATCAGCAGGGGGAAGGAGACAGGATCTCTGGCGGGGGACCCAAGAAGAGGAGGACTGGGCTGGTCTGTGCAAAACCATTGCACAGAGCAGGTAAGTATAAAATTGTTTGTCATTTAAAAAATAAATCTGAACCTTTAGTATCACTTTAATGTGCTTGAAGCAAGTTTTGTATTCCTATAGACTTGTATAGGGAGAAAAACAGTTTTTACCCAAACAGAAGCCTATCAACACTGTCCTGTACTTTTCTTGCTGGCTACTACAACAATGAAAAGAATTTCTGATGGAGACTTGAGGATAGCTTTCAAGCTGTATCTCTGCATATTTGTAGCTTCTTGCTAGTCATTTGATGCTCTGCAGCCTCCACATAATTATACCTCATTGCGCACATTGCTTTCATGAAGTAGCAGCAAAAGTGATGTCATCTTGTCATGTCTTGTTACATGATCATAGGCGTGCATAATTAGTCCAATTCCAGCCAAAATGTATTTTTTTGCATTTGGCAACATGGGGGCCTCCTTCAAGGCTGTTTAAATGCAGCCACTGGATTTCAGTGGGAAGAATCAGCAGATTCTTGGGGCTTAAATGACTGGGTCATGCAAATAGCAGCGGCTATTAAGATAGCCAGGATGACATAGACAGCAAAAAAAAAGAAAACAAATGTGGGGTTCTGATGCTATCCTATTCTACTAAAATATTTGTGATCTTGTTGCTCTGTATTGCACCCACAGGAGAGAAGTTCATCTTTGTTCCTGTGACAACTCATCAGCATAATAGGACATCAAAAGAAATCTCCCTGTGAAATGCTGACTGCAAAAAAACTTGCCAGGTCTGACATTACAGGGAGTGATGAAAGCTGCTTCTCTTGAAATACTCTAAAGGAGGAGAGTGAGGTTTGGGGGTACATTTGAGTTATATCTGGAGATTAGTTTGAAGCTTTATTTTGCCTCACTGTTTTTAGATGGGTGAAGTTAGAAAGTCCTGACTCCTGTTTCTGTGAAATTGCAGGATGTTTCAGAACACTCAAGTACAGACAACCATAGTCAGGGCTTTTATCAGCGGGAACGCGGGGGAACGCAGTTCTGGCACTTCCAGCGCTGAACGTGTCAAATGGCAAGGGGTGGTAGGGTATACTGCAGGGTCCATTGATGCTGGCTGCTGGGAAATCTATTGTCACTGGAGGGGATCTATTTTGTGTGTGTGTTTGGGAGGGTGTCTATTGATGCTGAGGAGGTCTACTGTTAATAGTGGGGGATCTATTGTTGTGGGAGGTCTTATGTTGCTGTGGGGTCTTATGTTGCTGGGAGGGATCTACTGTCGAGGGAGGGGTTTATCATTGCTAGCTGCTGGAGGATCTATTGATGCTGGCTGTGGGCGATCTGTTGATACTGTCATAGAACTATTGTTGCTGAGGGGTATTTTGATGCAATGGGTCCATTGTTGCTGGGGGGATCTATTGTTGCTGGCTGCTTTTCTTTTTTTTTTTTTTTTACTGCTTTTCTTGTTATCATTAAAACTTCCATACAAATAGATGCTTGGTTCTGTATTCTCTAAAAGGATGGGTACTGGGAGGTAGGTAAGGGGTGGAACGCAGGCAAGGTGCGAGACGGAGACAGGGGGAGACTCGGAAAGGGAGATTTCATGCACCTATTTTATGAGAAAAAAAGCCATGACCATAAGTATTTGCGGAGAGTGGCCTTGCACACAGAATTCCTGTTAGGATGACAGTTAGAACCATTGTGCAGTTAGCCAGCATCCCCTTTGACTTTAAAATACAAATGTGCATCTTAAACTGGAGTGTACCTGTAAGTGGTTTAAAGCCTCAGGCCGACCATACACCAGTAATTTGTTTTGTTCAATCAGCAGGTTGAATGAAAGGAAATGACTCAATTCCCCAATCCACACACTTGATGTATCATGATACCCGCTGTATCGTCTTCTGACAGCAGGGAGATTTCCCTACTGTCAGAATATACTCATCTGCACCATGGGCTATAGCCAGCAGCACTGATTGAGAGAAAAGGTTCCAACAGGCTGGTTGTACACAAGTCAATCGATAGATATATTTTTTATATATACATTTGTTCAAGAACATGTTAATATTAGAATATGGCGTGTGTTCCAGACAATCCGTTGCTTAGTGGTGTGAAACAACAGATCACTCTGGAGAAATAGATTTTTACACCACGGCCAGATGGCTCTATGTAATGTGCAAGTACATCAGCATGTGTACACTGGTCCCCTTGACAATGTCCTTTGGATGAAATGTACATCGGGGTAGGAGTCTGTGCTGAAGTCATCATCGCTGACTGGAGCTGGCACCAGCAGCTTTCATTGGATTGCGGTTTTGATTTTATATTTTGTAAGTAGAATCTTTGCGGTTTCTTAATAAAATATTGGCAGTATTATACTAAGGTGGATTTCTTTTATATGAGAGCGCTCTCCAAGACAAGGAAGAGGATTGACCATCACAGCATTGGAACATCTAATCACATCAAACCACACTACCAGGATACATGCACTGATATGCTATATAGACCTCCTATAATCTGGGGTTTCAGAATTCGGTAATAGGCTGGTTATGGTGATGGTGGATGCACTTTTCACAATGTATTGAGCATCGAAGTGGGGCAGCACAGTGGCTAAATGGTTAGCACTTCCGCCTGGCAGCACTGGGGTCATATGTTTGATTCCCAACCACGGCACCACCTGCCTGGAGTTTGCATGTTCTCCCTGTGCCTGCGTGGGTTTCCTCCAGGTACTCCGGTTTCCTCTCACACTCCAAAGACATGCAGGTAGGTTAATTGGCTCCTGTCTAAATTCGCCCTAGTATGTGTATGTATGAATGTGAGTTAGGGGACCTTAGATTTTACGCCCCTTGAGGGTTAGGGACTGATGTGAATGTACAATATATATGTAAAAGTGCTGCGTAAATGGACGGCGCTATTTAAGTACCTGAAATAAATAAATCGAAGTTGATGGACACTTTCTTCACTGGAGAGCTTTACATAATTTAAATATGTTGGACTTATAATTCTCATTTTTTCACATTGGGACATAACACGTTTATTTCAGTATTCAACAGTTTTTTAGTTATTTATTTTCACAGCGCAACTTATTTGTAAGATTTATAGATCGACTGCCCATACAAGGATCGAAATTTAGTTGGTTCCTGTGTTTAGATCCATGTATGGCTGGCTTAAATTTAGTTATATTTATTTAAAGAAAAATCAGCACAAGGCATGGCAGTTACATTCAATGAAAAGTGCCCGCTGTGCTGATGACTGCTGTTTTAGTTAAAAATTAAATTTTCTGTCCCCTCATACCCCCCTAGCAGTAATCTCCCAGTGCTGGGTTAATACAGCCACTGGACCTGTCATATGAACTCATCAAGAGTGCTGACTAGGTCTGCCCTTTTCCGCCTTCCTCCTCCATTCGTAGGTACCATAGCTTCTATCAATGAAAAGCGCTCTGTGTATAGAGCATGGGTGGGATGAATGAAAGCTCATCCTTCTCCATTCATAGAGCGCTTTCCACTGATGAAAGCCATAGTACAGCTTCTATGAATGAAGGGAAGGGGTGGAAAGGGCGGACACAGTCAGCTCTCGTGATGGGTTTTGTGTCATGGCATTACTGTGTTGCAATAAATAAGGCTGACCTTGTTGAATTGGTATGCTGACAACTCTGAAGCACCATGCTATCGGACCTTAAATGGTTTCCCCGACTAACAACTATAGTTCAGCTTTTCAATAAAGTATGATTCCAGCAGAAATGTGTTCATGTTTTATGAACGGAAAGACATATCATTTCTTTGAATAATTTGTTTTTCCTGTTTATGTTTTGTTAGTCCCTCCATTCTACTTTCAACATCTGGACCATATTGGCAGAAGAGTGGACTACTATGAAAGGCCAGAGCTATCTCTGGGATCTTATGAATATGTTGCTACACTGGATTACTGCAGAGTAAGTGCATTGTAGGCTTAATCTCTTTCCTTTAACTCTCTGTCCAGCGTTTTTTTCATCTCTGTCTTGAAGTGCATGTCTAAAGCATCTTGTAATTTGAAATACAATTTTGGCTTAGTAAATCATAACAGGAGATTGCAAGTTTTTTCCTTTTAACCACTTGAGTCTCCAGGCTTTTTTCTCCCCAAATCCCCTGAGCGTTCTTTTTTCATGTTTGGGATGTATTCACACGTATTAGCATTTGAAGTCTTCCCTAATGTATTATACATCATGTTTTTGGGACAGATAGGGCATCAATGTGGTAACACATTGGTGCCCTATGTGTTATTTACATTGGGAATAAATAGATTTTTTTAACTGGGGAATAAACTGTACAAAATTAGAAAAAAAGCATTTTCCTGTAATTAGCTCAACATTTAAATAGTTTGCACACCCCCATCAATTTATCCTAAAATATAATCAGAAAAGTCTGTTGATTAAAAAGAAAAGTGCAACTTTTCTGAAGTAGTGGAATGGTAAAGCTCAAAGGGAGTGTATGTATTTTACTTTAGGAAAGCTTTGTTAAATTTTCAGACTACAGTGCCACACACGCAGGGGAAAAAAAAGATTTAGTGCAAACCTACATTAAAATCAGTTACGTTGTATTGATGAGGGTGCAAATTAGCACAATGCTGACTTTTTCATAGGTTTGCAATCATTAAAAAAATTTGAGTTATGTTCAATTATTGCTCACTTTTATTTATATAAGTATCAAAGCAACACAGTATTTTGTCAGCACGAGGAATATTTCACATTACACAGCTCTATCCATTTCTCTTTAAGACAGAGCTGCCCAGCTCCCCAGCAACAGATCACTTCTAAAAGTGATCTACTGCTGGCTGCATTCAGCCAGAAAAAGATCACTATAGCAGTAATCTACTGCTACAGGTAGAGATTGGATAGAGCTGCAACAGTTCTGTCCTGTACTGAGAGGAAATTATTATTTAAAGAATTAATTCACCATATATGGGGCAGCACAGTGGCTAAATGGTTATCACTTCTGCCTGGCAGCACTAGGGTCGTTGGCTCAAATCCCAACCACGGCACCACTTGCCTGGAGCCTGTATGTTCTCCCTGTGCCTGCATGGGCTTCCTTCAGGTAAGTACCTCCCAGTTTCCTCCCACACTCCAAAGACAAGCTGGCAGGTTATTTGGCTTTCTAAATTGGCCCTAGTATGTGTATGTATGAATATAAGCTATGGCCCTTGAGGGTTAGGGACTGATGTGAATGTATGATATACAGTTAGGTCCATATATATTTGGACACAGGCACAATATTAGTTTTTTTCAGGTATTTACCAAAACATATTCAAGCTATAGTTATATAATGGATATGGTCTGAAAGTGCACACTCTCAGATTTAATTTGAGGGTGTGTACATCCAAATTGGAGGAAAAGATTAGGAATTACAGCTCTTAAAAGTAGCCATCCTCCCTTTTTTTTTCAACGGACCGAAAGTAATTGGACAATTGAATATAATCATAAATCAAATGTTCATTTTTTACTGGCAATGACTTAACAGGTCCTGTATTCATGTCCTGGTGTTTTGTGTGTCCTATGAATGTCAAAAGGGACAGCAGGTGTTTGTTTTAGCACCATTTTAGCATGGCACCTGGACTCAGCAGCCCCTGCAGGTGTCAGCAGCTTCTAGCTGTGACAGCCAGGGCCCAGCACAAAGCCCAGAAGCTGAAACAATTAGCTTTAGGCTGCAGATCCTTGTATGAGCACGAGATTGTGTGAAATGCGTTAACAGTCCTGTATTCATGTCCTGGTGTTTTGTGTGTCCTATGGATCAATAAATATACACTATATTCATCAATCCTCCGGTGTGCGGCTGATCCTTCTTCCTGCTGCAGATCCTTGTACACATCGCTCCACATGAGTGAACTGTAAAAGAAACTGTACGTGCAATGCTGCCATGTGTATAAAGGCTTAGTTCACCTTTGGAACACCTTACATGTTCCACCCGTATTTAGGGTGGAATATATAACATGTTTAATGCCTGCCCACTCATCTCTCCCCCCCGGGGTCCCTCTCCCCGCTCTCACTATTTAAAAAAGCGTGGTTGTGCATGGCTCTGCCCACACATATCCGCGTCATTCATTCAAAGATTCCTGTGAATGAATAAACTACAAGAACGATCTGCCACCGCAGCAGACATTGTTGTAGTTTTAATGACTGCGGGGGCGCTGATCAGCTCTCATAGTCTACTGACATGTCCTGTAAAGACTGTACAGAGGCAGGGGCTGAAAGCCGAAGGACAAATCTGCAGTAGCCCACATTCGACCATTGATGAAGTGATCTTGTGTCCAATGCTTTTCAGGCTCCTGCATGAAAAAATAACACATTTTTCTGCAAAAATGTTGGAATTTATTATTTTTCTATATTTTATTTATTTCAGGTACTTATATATATATATATATATATTTATCAATTTATGCAGCGCTTTACATACAGTTAGGTCCACATATATTTGGACACAGGCATGATTTTAGTTTTTTTCAGGTATTTACCAAAACATATTCAAGCTATAGTTATATAATGGATATGGGCTGAAAGTGCACACTCCCAGGTTTAGGAATTACAGCTCTTAAGAGTAGCCATCCCCCTTTTTCAAGGGACCAAAAGTAATATGGGTGGACCATGTAAGGTGTTCCAAAGGTGAACTTAGCCTTTATACACATGGCAGCATTGCACTTACAGTTTCTTTTACAGTGCGCTCAAGTGGAGTGATGTGTACAAGGATCTGCAGCAGGAAGAAGGATCAGCCGCACACCAGAGGCTGGATGAATCTAGTGTATATTTATTGATCCATAGGACACACAAAACACCAGGACATCAATACAGGACTGTTAACGCATTTCACACAATCTCGTGATTAATCATACAAGGATCTGCAGCCTAAAGCTAATTGTTTCAGCTTCTGGGCTTTGTGCTGGGCCCTGGCTGTCACAGCTAGAAGCTGCTGACACCTACAGGGGCTGCTGAGTCCAGGTGCCGTGTTAAAATGGTGCTAAGACAAACAGCTGCTGTCCCTCTGACATTCAAAAGGATGCTCGGGACTAAAGTGGTTACTACTTCAAAGCTGTCTTCTTAGCAAAAAAAATAAAATAAAATATCAGATTTATTCTGGCTATATCAACAGTAGATTTTTTTTTTACCAAAGTATGTTAAATTAATATTATAAATCATCCAAGTCATTATTGTCATCTAAGTACATTTAGTCATGACAGTTTGACTTCTCAACTGCTATTTATACCATACTTTATATTTAATTTCTACTGCTATTTTACATTCAATAAGATCAGATTTTGAAACAATGGGGGCATTAATAATGGGAAAAGACCTACATTATTTTAGGATGCATATAGTAAATAAAACATGTTTGTTATCAGCTTATTTGATAAACTGTGAAATAGCATGGAGTCTGGTTAAACCAGAAATGCTAGTGAGGATGGGTTTAGTGTTACTATCATTGAATTGACCTCTGTGACAATCCTGGGTGGACGGTGTCATGATCGCAAGATCGCCGCCACCAACATGCAACAATCTCACGACCGCAACCACCAATACAATACGTCACGATCGCAGCGTCAGACCTCAGACCTTCTCACCAAACTCGTGACCGAAGGACCGGCCGATCTAAAACCGCGATGTGACGTGCGTAACAATGCCACACCCAGCTGCACCCTACACAGTGATTTTCCAGCTAATAGATTTCAATCTGTGTCTGCAGCCTGGATGCGCTTGTTACTGGGTCAGGTTAATTATGTCACTAACCCTTACACTGCCACCACCCCTTTTTGTACAGAGAAAGGGGAAACTCTCTTTATCAAATATACACTATAATGGTTGAAAAGTCATCTATCCAATACGGTCACCGCAGGCCGATTGGGCAGAGTATTAAACAAACACAGTAGCGTCACTTTAGAGGCAGGAATTCGTAGATTGCAATTAAGCGCTTTAGAAACAGTTTACCACTTTCAGAAAGAAAGATTTATTACTAAAAGAGTCAAACAGGTGCAATAATATATTTACAGAAAAAGATGTAACTAAGATATATATACATATACATAGAGCCATAGCACAGAGAAGAGATATCAGAGAGAAAGGGAGGAGTTAAAGTACTTGCCGAAACCCTGGGTCAACAGATCCAACTTGCAGAGCAGAAGTGGGATTTGATCTACATATGTAATGATGGAAAAGATAGGAGATGCCTTCAACTACCTCTTTAGGTCTGCTAGCCTGTTTTTTAAAGTCCCCCAGCAGGGGGGTGGCTCTGAGTAACTGACCAATACTCTGTTTAGGGAGGGATCGTCGGGCAAACTCTGAATTAGAACCAACATCTGTCATAATCCATGATATGAAACGGGCAAACTGACTTGAGGAATGTTCATTTAATTCTGTCACCTAGCTGCTAGGTTTTATGAGGTTACAATCTCTTTCAATTCCTGGGAAAAGCGACCTTATCTCGGTTACGAGGTGAGAGCTTACACACGCTTTTGGACAGCCAGGCTCTGTATCTCTGGGGGGCCTTTGTAGCTCTGGGCCCCCTGCTGCTCTAGCCTGCCAGCAACTTTTAACACACACACATCTGTCACTGTGCCTCTCAGGAAGGAAGGGGGAAGGAGAATAAAGGATTGAGGGAGAAATGTATGCTCTTATCAAAATGGATGTGCCTAACAAAATGGTTGCACTGCGTCCATCTCTGAGCGCAAGTTTGCGACAGACGGGTCGAAACACGTCGGGGTATGACTGGAGCGGCGGCTGAAGCAAACACAGATACTATCATTGGGCTAGTCTGAGCGGCGTCCCCTCTTCCTGTTGTCAGCTCTTTTAAATTAGTGCGAGGATGCCTGCTGCCATCTTTTGTGTAGCAGCGAGATAACTCAGCATTGCCCAGCTTTGGGCGGCATTGCAAGTCTGTCATATCACTGAATTGTAGCTAGACAGGGCAATCCTCTTGAGAGCAGCTAAAGGTCTCCATACTGAGTCAGTGAAGTGGCAGCACCTTTCAAAGTTCCAAAACGTGTCATTTCCTCCAAAATTCTCAGTTTATTGTTCTTTGAGTGACTTTGGTTTGGTTTACTGAGTGTGTCAGTTGTTAGCTGTATTTTGGCTGTCTTTCTGTTATGTCTATTTCTAGAATATGTTTTATATTATTTCAAAACAGTAATTTCGGCTCGATATTTGGTAGTTTATGAAATGTGGCGGCTGCTGCAGAGTATTTCTAAGAAAAAAATAATAGCATGTCATTCCAGTTACCTGATTCATATCTTATGTGGAATTGTTCAGGTCCAGTCATGTTCACACACACAAGTTTTTGTCTCTTTAGATTTTTTTTTATTAAATACGTATAGTAAGTGTTACTGACCTTTTACATATCTGATTTTAGTGTTTCTGGTTTATTGAATAGAATATGTGACTAGGTGATATATTGTGCCACTTGCTAGCTTTGCAATAAGTGGAATTACCTTTATTTCTTTGTCTACAGCAAAACAAACCTCCCAATAGGCCTGCTTTCATTTTCATGATAGACGTATCATACAGCAACATTAAAAGCGGTGTTGTTAGACTGATATGTGAGGAGCTGAAGACTCTACTGGATCATCTTCCAAGGTAGGTTTAATAGTGTTTTATAAATATACCTTTTACTTTATACAATAGTTTGGAACTGTTAATAAATCAAAGATAATGTTTCCTAGTTTTGCAGTACTCAATTTATGCTACTAATGCTACTCTCATTGTTTACATTCTTTCTGAATGTGAGTCAGCAGGCAGCTGAACAAGATGAATGTTTCTATTTCCTTCATCCTTAGCTGCAGTTCATATATATGCAGTGCAGGAAATGCATCAAATCCTGAGAATTTCCCACACTGCATTAAAACTGCACTATGTTCATACAGACTGACACGTGTGTCAATGTTAAATGAATGACACCCCAAAACAGGTAGTAAAATGCAGTGTTATTGCAAGAATCGTATCACATGGGTGTGTACACCCATGTGATCCAGTTCTGGTGTGGCAAAGATAAAGATGCCTGCACCTTTTTCTTGTGGGTGCGTGTGAATTGAGCCCATACAAATCGAACAGGCTCAAATCACACTGCAAAGAATCGAATGTGATTTTAACAAAAATGCATTGCGATTCCTGTCTGAACCACGTGATTTCCTGCACCACTTATATCAATGGATAGAGTTCAAGGATAGTGTCTTATATTAAAACGGAGATTCAATCAAAATCGAATCTGACCTGCTTCCAGCACCGGGGCTTCAGTGTAGAGGAGGGGCAGCCACCACGGATGCCACATAGTAAGCCTTTGGGTGATGCCACCACATAGGCATTTGCAGCCATTGTCAGCGATCTCTCCTCTTTACAGAAGCTTCCGCCAGAGAGATCATGTGACCGGACCAGAATAGGTAAGTATAGGCATCTTTTCTTTCATAGGATAGATAGAATAGTTTTAGAATAGCGGTGGGAGTAGGTTTAGCCTTAGTTAGATTTTGTCTGAGCTTCCACTTTAACCCCTTGACGCCGTTGTCACACAAATATGCGGCCTTACAGACCTGGGCTTTTTTCCGTGGGGCCACATATTTGCATGCCTGTCTTTGTGCTGGGAGTGCACCGCACAGCGCACTCCCAGCACAAAGACCGGGGTGTCACCGAGAACCCCGGGTTCCGTTCTAACGATTGGGACCCAGGACTCCTGATTCCGGGTCATATGATCACTGTGATAGCCTTCGATTGCCTATCACAGTGATCAGTCACTGCAAAGCCCACCCCCCCCTTGTTTTTTTTTCTCTCTGAATGGAGGAGAGAGAAACATTGTATATCTCTCCCTTCTTGCATAGAGAAAAAAAACAACTGTTTGTAGAAAAAGAAAAAAAGATAAATAATTAAAAATAAAGAAAATACCTAGATCAAGGTTTTATTTAGTTCAGTGCCAGGGTTAGTGTTTGGGTCAAGGTCAGGGTCAGAATAAAAAAAAAAAACATTGTCAGTGTGTATTAAAAAAAAAAAAAACCAAAAACTAAATGTGCACTATTGATTCTGGGCAGTAGTACAGGTTACAAGCAACAAATAACATACACATATATGGTATCGCTGCGATCTTCAAGAGCTGGAAAATGTAGTTTGGGTTGTTCTTTGGTGGTAGGTTATGGTAGTTACAAGAAACACACAGCTAAATTTAAATAAATGATTTTTTTACTATTTTGGGCCAGTTTTCCTTTGATAAAAAAAATCAAATCAGGAGATATCCATTACCATTTACCACCAAATGAAAGCTCAATTTGTCCTGAACAAAACAAGGTATAATCCACCTGGATGTACAAAGTAGTTGTTGATGATATGTATGTATGGTTTTACTAACACATGTCAAAGTTGTAAAATTTTACTTAGGCTTTAAGATTTATTTTACCCTTAGGTGTGAAGGGGTTAATCATCAAGGCAGCTGTTATGCAAATGATAAACTGGCCATAGGTGAGTTCATTATTGAAGCCATTAGATCCAGGCTCCTCCAGCATTGATTAGGAAGGCCATGTTTCCAAACAGGAACATTAGGCCTGTGGGTGGTACTGCCTGAGTGTCTCCTTCTGAGACCCCTGTCAACGTCACTCATCCCCTACTTCTGAAGGCATTACTGAAGCAGAAATCTCCTCTGCCATAATATAGACCTCCTGTAGCTGGGGGTGAATGATCTGCCAACTTCTAAATAATCAGCCAAAGAACATAAAGAAATGACTAGAAAACTAATAAACAGACTATGTGTTGTGTCCCACACTCAGCTCCTGGTTGCTCATGGCAGCTGTCAGGAAGCTCTACATCAGTTCTACCTATGCTACTATCCTAGCATTGATAATGATGAGCAGACAAGTGCGGCAACCATACTAGTGACCAAATTTGTAGTTGAAAAGGACCTGGCCTAAGACTTCTTCCTTTTATTAGAATGTTGCTGCCAACAAGATGCTCCCTCTCCCTAATATGCTCTTTTATAGTGGTCTGTTGCTGCCAAATGGTGCCTCTGTGGCTACTCACGTCCTGAAAATGCTACTGGAAAGTGTAATCTCTTAGTGGCTGGGTTAGCCAACCTTTAAAACCTTTATACCCAGCTGCATATTTATTCATTTCTTAAAGTGTTACTAAACCCTGGACCCTGCATTCACTATATCTGGTCTCCGATAGTACACACAACATTGTTTTAGTAAATATAAACTGCTAAATACCTTTTCTCATCAGCAGTTAGAGCAGTCTTGTGATTTCAGCAGAGCACTGGTTAAAGCTTGTAGGAGGAGTTTTCTTTTTTGTTCTAGGAGGATGCAAAATCCCTTGCCTCTGTCTGACCAGTGCTGATTGGCCCTGTGCTGATCACATGCACTCACCCAAGAAAAAAAAAACCTCTCTAGCAATACACACTAAACTGAGCATGTGCAGAAGGGCTACAGGTTCAGTCTGTCTTATCAGCATGGACATTTTGAACAAGAGGAGGAGCAGAGAAGTCAGGATCAAACAGCCTTTTTACACAATGCAGAGGATTAACCCCTTAGATCCACAGTGAGTATAACACACATGCATATACAGACTGATTTTACTGTTGTGGGTTTAGTAACACTTTAAGCACTTTTTTTTGCTTAGTTGTTTCCAAACGACAGACGTTTAGTTAGATAGTACGGTATATTTATTTTCCCTTAACTCTGCATGGACATTTATTACTTTTCTTGAAACATATGTGCGTATCTAGGGAAATGTTTGATGTCATAACAAAGATACAAATGGGCAGCATAGAACTTCTCTTCAACTCTGCATATTCTCAAAGTTTTAATGTATGTACTGGATGATTCAAATTATGTCAGCCTTTGGGCGTTTCAGACAGCTCTACTGCCACCCTCTGCCCACTTCTTAACACTGCAAGCATAAATACTCACTGTACTTTTGCAAATATGAAAATTGACTAAGAAAAATATGCCATATCCTATAAAAGCAAGGCGAGAATGATTTATGGTGTGTAAAAAAATGATTACTCTGAACTGACTCCTTCTGGGTTGCAGTACCAAATTCTTGTGCGCAGTTCACCTATAGAATGTCATAACTAAAGATCATTTCCTAAAATAAGGATGCCTGAAATATGTTGTGGTTAATAAGTGATGAATATTTTGTAACATATGTAAATGTTACAAGCCTAGACAAAGCAGAATGTAGCCATTAGGTTTCCACATGAAAGGATCTCAGTTCTGGAAAGATGTTGGGCAAGTCGTGACCTCACTTCAGAAAACCCCTTGACATCTCCCATAGGAGAAATGCAATTACTGCCCTGCTTAGTTGGAGAGAAAGAACAACATGAGATAATGGCTCTCTGCTATGAATACTGAAACATGTCTTGGGCTTGCTTCAGGTTATTACTGGAAAACCACCAAAGTATCACGTTTAGACATGTGGCTTCAGAATCTTGAATTATATACACAAATGTTTTGCCTTTCATTTTTTTGGGGTTGTTTTACAAGGTGATGGTTTACATATACTTTAACACAAAACAACCAACCATCCATCCACATAAGTGTGATTATCTGTCGAGGCTGCAGTCTGATATCACAGTAATACCAGAACACAGGAACCTAGTATGAATCTAATGTACACGGGGCATTTGGAAAACTCTTCTGAACGATGGAAACTGACTGCTGGAAAATGTAGGTTAAAAACGTCAGTTTAGCCGTGTTTGCATAGTGCGTTTATGTGCGTTTGCGTTTAGAAGCGTAACCTCAGGAGCCCTTCCCAAATGCCCAGCATGCACTGAAAAATAGGAAAAACGTAACTATTTCAGATATTTTGAAAGGAATAGAGAGAGCAGAAGCAGAGAGAGCAGTATGTGTTGAGATGACCTATCTTTTCTGGTTGTATTCACTATGGATCCCATCATGAGCATAATGCAGCACGTTCTACCATTTTTTCCTTCACGCGAAACCTGGAACTGACTGCGTTGGTGTGCTAGGTCCATTTGAATACATGGAAAATGCATTGCATGCATTTCTGATGTTGAAAAAAGGCTCTGGACAGCATCTAGACATGGAACAGTTAAAAAACGCTTCTAAATGCAAACGCTTATAAACGCGGTTAACCGTGTTTACAAGCGTTTGGCATTTGAAACGCTAGTAAAATCTCCTGAACGCAAGTTTGGTGCATTCAAAAAAATGACTGGCAACTCAACTGCCTGTCAACAACTGTGTACATGGACACATAGGAAAACATTAGGGTGAGTTCAGGGGCTGCTGAAAAAAAAACGCAGAAAAGCTCCTGAATGTGAGTTTATCAGCTGCAGTGTACATGAGCCCTAAGACATGATTTAGTGCTGCGGCTATTACATTTCTATGGGTATTCTTGCCATTGACTCTGATGCAGTTTTGAAGCATCTTTTGTTAATATAGGTGGAGGGCTGCAGCTACCACACTGGATGCCTGATTTGTCATTTCTGTGTAGAAAACCTATAGGAGAAAATGTTAAAACCATGAGATGGGTCAAAGTAGAGCACATTAAACTCATTCACCCTCCACTCCAACCTAACAGAATTTTGGGGTCTATTAGTCATAGAAAACAAAAGACACATTGGTCATTTGTATGAATGTGCC